TTCGCATCCGAATGATCTTTTGCCACGGCCACGCATTATCCGCCATCCCGGATCTCTCGCGTGAAAACCTGAAATTTCTTCATTTTGTTTTCCGAACAAACATAGCTTCGCTTTTTATCCATAATTGTTAAAAGCTGGAGAGGAGAAATAAAAATAATTAGAATTCGCAAAAATTCGAATTTCAACTGCGGTGTTTAACTTCGATAAAACAATATGACATGGCAACCAACATTACCCGCCCTGAAATGCACACTAAAGAGTGCTGAAAGGTAGAAAGTGGAACAAAAAACTTTATTTCAACTCAAAAACATGCTAAATTCATAAAAAATTGTCAAAATTTTTGAAAATTCTGCAAGAAAAAAAACGTAGCCAAAAACAACACCATACGCCCATTATAATCAATTTAAACAAACGCAGCATCAGTAAAGCTCCCGCAAATAACACGGAAAGTATTGTACAGTAGGAAAAGAAGAAAAACCCGAAAGGAACCAGGGAAAAATTTTTTACAAATTCATAAAAATGTTTTTATAAAAATCGCACAAAAATCCGTTTTAAGTCAAAATTAAAATTTGTTTCAGTCCTTCAGTGAATCGATGATAAAACTTATTGCCATTACGTTCTTCAACAGAAGCACAGCAGTGATGGCACAATTAAGATCAAGAACTTTGAAAAGTACAAAATTATAAAAAAAACAAAATTAATGGAGCTCAAAAAATTGCTTCATAACTTTGATGAGCTTAACAATCTAACCCAAAATTGTTATTAAACATAACAATCACAGGAAGAGAACTCAAAAAATTCGCTTCACAATTCTTTATAAAAAAAAATTATCGGCATGGCACAAATCCGAAATGCTTTCACATATCAAAAATTACAAAGCTGGACAAGAAAAGCATATTGCTTACCAGTCGATTATGCAAAAAAAAAAAGCAATGACACCGCGTATCTGACGACACATCTTAGAGATTTTTGATGATACTCAGAGCTTTAAGAAACTCAAGGATTACAGTGACGGAGTAAAGCCAAGTACAAAGAGGTGTTTTATGAACAACGTGAGTCCAAACCAGCAAACGATAAAATCAACAGAGCGAGAAAGAAGCGCACCACAGGAGCCAATAAAAACACTGTTTTCAGGCATTTCTCGGTGTGGAGATTAAATTTACATAAATGCCAGGGCAATCAGTGTGGATATTGCAAATTAGCGATTTTTATCGAATTCGACTCAATGCTACCAGTTGATACTCGATGTCAGCGCCTTCCTTCGGAGGTCACCCGAGTGGTCGCTTACTTTCTCACGAGTGCCCCAACTAATACTCAACATCCACCGGTTTTGGCAAGGCCTCTTTCAGTGTATTTCCAGAAAGTGCTTACAAGAAACTTCTGATGACCGCGAGGTTCGTTACTTTGCT